GGGTTCCAAGATGAAAACAAAGATATTAAACTAAAATGAAGGAAAGGGTTTTTTCCAGAAGCTTTCCTGAACTGGTCTGGTCAGGATTTCTATCCATTCTTAAATGGCTTTTATTTCATCTGGTGTGTCTTTTGAATAGCCCTTTCAAAAGGTAACTCAGCCCTGTTCCTTGTCTCCACTTGTCAGCCAAAAGCTCTGGATGGGGCAGGCCAGGTGGACTCATCAGTCTCAGAGGCCCTCAAGCTCCAAAAGCCACAACTGCTAGAGAAGGGAATGCTCACATGGAAAACAAGTTCCCAAGGCACTGCCATAATGTGGAGGAAGGGGAATATATACCTTATATATACCCTTATATACCATTTCAGATGGCAGATCACCTCATTGTCTGAAAAGGACACAACAGTCCAGCAGGCACTGGACTTGGGAGCTTCCCAGGTTCTGCAGTCAGCTAGGTGACAGGAGTGAAGTCAGTCGCCTTCCATTCCCTTTTCATTGTCTCTGCTTCCAGCCAAGGTAGTCTTTGGTGCAAGGCCCCATGCACTATAAGAAATACCAGCACACAGAGTATGTGCTCTTCAGCATCCTCATGTGAAAATCGATGAGGTAGCTGTACTTCTGCCAGGATTTGAACTGATTCTGATCCAGGATTAGCTGATGGCAGTTCACCTTCCCTCAGTCAACTCTTTGATACCAGTGAAACAGATTAAGACCACAAAAACTCTTACAGCAGTCTGGCTAAACTGCTTAAAAGACAGAACATAACAGCCAAGTCTGGTCTATACCCAGCCACATACCTCGTGCTGCCTATGGACCTTAGTCTCTATGGAGAACTGAATGAAACTAACAAGCCAATTCAAATCTGTTTTGAGGGCATTCAGCCGTATGCTGGATAATCTTGATCCAAAATGTGTATTTACTGCCTCTGAGCTGAAAATATAAATTCTTCCCTCCCTCTGCTCCAACTTCACGTGCCAAGAAGCCGTGGCTTCCCTAACACAAATGCTGGCTGGAGGAACAGGGCTCCATCAAGTGTGTTGGGAAAGAAGCAGGCACCAAAGTAAAACGCCAGCATATGCTGTGTATTACTGGGTGTAATGTAGTATACTCAAGTATGTTACATTTCACGCAGAGTTTGTGCTGAGAGAGCCATATTTCAAATCTCTCTTATTAGCAGCCACAAGAGTGTGGGTTGATTTCAGACTGCTGGGCAATGATTTACATGAGAAGATACTCAACAAGCCTTTTCTACATAAGCAATTACAAGGAAAAGCTGCTGTCTTGGCCCAATTAATTTTGTCTCCAGGAACCAGCACTGAATAAATTAATGTAGCCACGATTAGAAAAGAAGGGAGGGTGGCAAAGATACAGTGTAATATCTGCAAACTTCCCTTCGCTGGCTGGGACCTGCAGGAAATCTGCCTACAGGGTTTTTTCTAATCCTATTAGCCAAGGTAGGAAGATTGTGTTCCAATGGGGAATGATCCCTAGGAGGAAAAGAGAAGAATCCTTCTTGAGAAACTCCCTTCCAAATAACAGTGAGCTGAAATCCTGACAGTGCTCTCAAACACTGCTTCAACAACTGCAGTTACTTTCCAATATGAAGCTCTTTAAGACACCCTAAGGAAAGGAATACAGCCTCTGGGCTTTCAGAGTACTCCTAACATCAGCTAATTGTCCTCCTCCTTTATCTCCTGGCGAGAGATAGACTACCATCATACCAAGTAGTACCCTCGTGACTTCAGACCATCTTTACATATGGGGTGCTTCCCATCTATGGGGACCTCAGAGCAGGGTCACACAGACTGTAGGACTGAACCTGCCTCCCAGTGTAAAATCAGCAAGCACTGAAAAATAAAACCCTTATAAATTAACAGGCAGCAGCAGACTGCTGTCAGGCAGCAACTGATGAAAACAGTGTTCTCCCACGCTAGAATTTAATACTAGCATCCTAGCGTTTCTTAGGAACTGCTCTAGAGTGCTCTCAGTCTGTCCACCTTACTAAAATTGTTAAGCTGTCATCGAGCTGCAGTTATTTTAGCACCAACACAACAAACACCATTCTGCCAAGCAAACTGTTGGCATCAAGTTCCACAGGATCCAAGCACAAGCCAGCCACACCCAGATCATCATGTAGAAAGTTGTCCTTTAGGATTGCAGTGCATTGCCAAAGGAAAAAGGCAGCAAAAAATCTCGCAGTAAGCATGAGAATAATACAGGATTAACTGCAAGCACTCCAGAGTCCCTCCCTAGAGTCTGGCTCGGTGCAGAAGTCAGGCAAGCTGACAAAGCACACAGCACTAGCCAAGGATCAGGCATCAGTGAAAGGTGCATGCTCCCTGGCTCCAGTGGTAGGAATAGGGAGGGGAAGGCAAGGCATGCTCCCAAGGAAGGAAAGCCAGGTTGAAAATGCAGAACAGGAGAAAAACAAGCTCCTGGAAGCTTTGCAGACAGAACTTAGCGTGAGGAAGGCTTCCATCCTTCATTATACTCACATTTGCATTTCTGCTCCCTCCAGCAGGTACTGGAGCAGAATTAGCCCTGGCTATGCGGAGGGGCACTGCCTGAGGAACAGGAATGCAGCAACCTGCCCATCAGACAACATCATGAGGTAAAATTCAGTCCAAACAGAGAAGGCAGACATCATCTCAGGCCTTAAGTTCACCGCTGCCATGTGCAAGGACTAAATGATCTACCACATGCATCTGCCTACTTCAGGGAGCACTGGTTTACTTGTCATCATCCTCACTGGGACCAGATTTGGAACTAGTCCCTTCGAAGGCTCCCATGTTTGCTCTCTGTTGTGTAAGTTTGACTCTATTAACCATGAGAAGGCCCTGCAATGCTACAGTCTCTGCAGCTTCAAAGCCGCTCCAGAAACAGGGAGTCCTGGGAAAGTCAGCCTCTTATTCTAATGGTTTAAAACACACAGAAGCAGCACCGTTCTTGACTGGTATCTACGCTGATCATTCAAACCCTGTGATCTGCCTTGGCCTGACCTAGAATTCAGCTCTGGAGAGCTCCTGCTCCACATGATCTGCTCGGCCGCACTACCTGCCCAGCCAGTGTATGCGGTGCAGTCCTGCGGGTCTGCAGACTTGAGGCCCCTCTCCATGTGCTGGAGCAGCTCCCGGATCTTGTTATTCAGCCTCTGCGTGAATTCGGGGGTCAGCTGTGGAAATAAAAACCCCCAAGCTACTAAATACGAAGGAAACACCATCAGGCGGGTGGGGTTTTGGTCAGCTGGGGATGCCCGCAGGGAGCACAACCGGGCGCTCTTTCACCTGACAGCCCCCAAGGGTACCTCAGGGCCGGGCTGGCTCCCGGCTCCTCAGCCTGGCTTAGCGGCCCGGGCGGGAGCAGGCACCTCCCGGCCCCAGCCCACCGCGGCCACACTCACCCTCCCGGCAGCATCGAAGTAGCCGGTGGCCAAGGACTTGTCGTAGTCGGCATAAGGGTTCGGAAGTGCCCGCTGCGCCATCATGGTTCCGCCGGCCCCGATCCGCCTCGCTCCGCTGCGGCCCGCCCGCGCTCCGCCCCGGAAGGCGGCGGGTGTCGGTGTAAGCCCCGTCGCTGCTCCCGCGCTCCGCCGTATTGAGGCGCCGGTGCGGGTCGCGCCCTAAGGCAGAGGGAGCTGTATGGGGGATAGGGAGCCCGGTGTGGGTTAAAGGCCTCTTGCAGCCGCCTCTGCGGGGTTTAGAGGCGGTTTTCGACTCGTCCTGTAGGGTTTAGGGAGTGATTTAGGGGTCCCTTGCTGCACCTCTAGGGTTTAGGAACACTTGTTTGTTTGCTGACCCTGTGGTACTTGGGGTCCTATGTTGCTGGCTCTGCGGTGGTTAGGGAGCTGTGTGGGATTTAGGGGTGGTATGTCAATGCTCTGTGGTGTCTAGGGGTCCCGTGTGGCTGTTTCTGTGGTGTTGAAAGTTCCGATGAGGCCAACGTTGCGGAGTTCAGGGAGCTCTGTGGTGTTTATGTTGATGGTTCTGTGAGGTTTTGGGGGTCTTGTGGTTGGTCCTGTGGGGTTTAGGGCTCCCAATGTGGCTGGTCCTTTGGTGTTCAGGAGCTCTGTGGTGTTTGGGGTTGCCATGTCATCAACTATTTGATGTTTAGGGAGCCCTGTGCAGTTTGTTTTGGCTGTCGTTTGGGACTTGAAGGCTCTGTAGGGGTTTGGGGCTTCTTGAAGCTGGCCTTGGGGGCTTTGAGGTCTTGTGGGAATCGGCACCGTGGTGGGCCTATGGGGCTGGTGGCCGTATGCATGTGGTGGCAGAAGGTCATTCCCAGGAGCGCATGTCGGGCCCTGCTCCTCTCAGCAGCAGTAGCTCCTCATGCAGGTAGGGCCTTGATGAGGGACAGGAGCTCTTCCTTGCTGCCCCTGCTGAGCTGCTCTGTCTCACTGTGTTGGCTGAGCCATGTCTTCCTTGTGAGGGCTGATCCCTACAACTCAGTCCTGAGCAGTGCTTTGCTCAAATTCCACTGGTGTTGGGGTTCTCCTTGCAGTCATCCTGTGGCAGTGTACCCCTGAGCAGCCAGCCATGTTGGCTGCATGGCAGCATTCACTGGGCAGTGTAGTCCTTATGAGCTGTATTTCTGGATCCAGGCCTTGCTGCCTTTCTGCTTAGTGTAACTGTGCCCAGCTCCCCTTTTCCTGACCCTGTAGGCCTGAGATGGGTTGTAACATCCCTGCTTGGGGTCTGGCTTGCTGAAGTGCAGCTCTGGAGCTCCCCAGTACTTCTAGTTCTGCAGGAAAGCCCAAATGAATGTGGCTGAGCTTGAAGCTCTTGGGTAGGTCTAAGTATAGTGATGCTGACCCTTGCAGGAGCTGAATCCATCTGGGTGGGTTTAAGGGAAACAGGTGCTGTAAGAATTTACTTTTTGGTAGTGATCAAGAGCACTCATGGGAATACTGCATTCATGCTTGAAACAATTGTATTATATAAGGGATTCTGGTTTTCTACCCATGTGTCAATTCTTTATTACAATCTGTAAAAATCAGAGCTCAAAGAAAAGAAAAAAAGATATTATTGCAGGAGGTGGTGACAACCAAGCAGCAAAGAGGGAATCCCAATTGGATTTGCTTTCAGTTCCTTTTCACTCAGCTGTTTCTTGTTTAGAGAGTTTCAATCATGTCATTGCCTTGCATTCAAGTCTGGGAGGAAGGTTATACAGCTCTAGCATCAGCAAAAATAATGTGGGGTCTTTTGCTTATGGCTAAATTCCCAGCCCTGTGGTTTCCCTTCCATCTGCAGGTCAAAACAATACTCTCTGCTGTCTTTCCCCCAGGCACAGTTCAGTATTAACTTCCAGCGCAAGGCATTTCACCTTTAGAGTCTTTCTTTTGTCTTTGATTCCTCTTGTATTCTCTTTTTCTTTTTCCAGATCACTTAACGACAAAGATACTTCTCCCAAATTATCCTGCCTGTTGCCAAGCAGTTTCGTTTCAGTATGTTGTTTTCTAAATGGTTATGGTCAGTTGGACCTGCTGCTGCCCAGGATAAATCCAAAGTACCTGTGACTGTCACCCAGAGCTCAGGTAAGTGACTCATGATTCATCCTTAGTAACCTGCCTGTGCAGAACAGGGAATGAAAGAAGGAAATGAGCCTGAGAGGGAAGCTGCTCATGTGTTCTCATTGAAGTCTGTGTCACATTGGGGTGTTTGGGGTGAGGAACTTGTTTGTTTGCTTTCTCTGGAAAGGGTCATGCTGGATTTGCTGAAAAAAAGACAATTAAAGCAGGTCTGCTCTTTTTCAGTCATCAGAGTGGATGGAGAAAATGGTGAGAAAATGGGTGCAGTAGCCTTCCTGGCAGGCCCGTCACAGCCCTAGAAAAACCTGATTCTGAAGTGACTCATCATCAGTGGTTGAAAAGATGTCCCAAAATCTTTCTGCCTGTGAGAAGAGTCATATTTTCTGCTCCACAGCATTCCCTGAAAGACAGATCCTTACTGAATTTTAACAGCATAATGATCCTGCCTGTTGGTAGTCTGTACTGCACTGGTAGCATGTCTGTTGGTCCTGGGACTACATGGGTAAAATAGATGTTTCACAGTCTTTCTTGAAGAAAACCTCAGGATGCTTGGGTGTCTGTTCCCTCCTCATTCCAGTGAGGATGCAAATCTCTGCCAGGTATACAGCTGCCTACAGACTGGCATCCTGCCTGAGGACTAACTGAAACACCTGCTTGAGAGGAGATGCTTCCTCCTGGTGTTACTGTCCTTCACTGGCTATGGGCATCCATCAGGTCTGTAATCTCACCTAGTGCTAATCTCGTCAGCAGGTGCCCACATCGGGCAATGCACATGTGGAATTGCAAGTGGCCTTTCCAAAATGGTGCTTTGGCATCTACCCCTCCTCATAGCCTCCTCTCAGGGTCGGATTGACCTGGCACAGAGGCCTCCATGCTGTGGGCCAGATGGGCTTGGCATGGTAATCCCATAATAATAAATGTGAAGGTTGCTTGTTTTGCCTTTGTGAGTGCATGCTTTATGTGAGGGGAGTGCAGTGAGCAAGGATAAGGTGTCCTTCATAGACTTGTCAAATAGAAAATGGGATTTGGGAGGCTGTGTGTGGAAGTGCTCTACAGAGCATAGCTCTCCTGGAAAACTGTACAAGCAAAGCACTTGGGCAGTGGGAGAGGTTTTACCTGCTGAAGAGTTGCTCCAGGGGTGTCTTGCCATGGTCACAGAACAGCTGCAGTACGGAATTTTTTGGACAGTTAAGATGTCATCAAACCTGGGGCATTTATCTCTCCGTCTCTCTTTGTTTTGTCTCTTTTTTCTGTTGAATTCTTTGTGTTCAAGCTTCAGACAGTGCGGAGTAGAAGTGAGAAGCTTCCCAGCTCCGTTTGTTAGCCTCTCTTTACACGTTGTTTATTCAGCAGCAGCATGGCTAAAGGTATTACGTATTTAGGGTGGATATCCAAAGTGTCCTAAGAAATATGAAAGATCAAAGGTGTCAGTTTCCTCTTTTAAAATAATAATTTTGAATATTGGTATTATTTCAGCTGTAATGCTCTGTATAAACCAGGAATGATTCTAGAAACTTTGCTGTGCTTTCCTATTAGAGCCATGGCTCACTGTATTTGCTCTCAGTAAAAACTCAAACCTATATTAAGAGATTGAAAGCCTTAGTGCCATTTGAAGCTAAGCAGACTTGTTTTTGGAACGTAAAACAAGTGTTATATCTTGGAATTATGATGGCAAAGTTTTTCATTTTAGGAGGATATCCAGGAGAGGGAAAAAGCCTCTTATTTTATTGGATTCTTTTTTCCAATGCGCAGCAGCCATGATTGCAGGTGGCATTGATTGTTTTAGCACCTTCTATGAAGAGCCCAAAGCCTCAATGTTGGTCACAGTAGCTGAACTAAGCTAATTGATTATATTAATAGTATGTGTGGGGCACAGCTCCCCTATATCCTGCCTGCATTTATTGTGGTCATAGGTTAAGCTAAGTGTTCAGTAACAACAGATTGACTCTGTATACACACCATAGTAGACTTTGAGCTAGCAATTCCCATTCACATCTTGGGGAACATAGTGGGTGATTCAGTGAAAACACCTGCTCACTAGAAGGTAAAAGAAAGTCAATTGACACTGGGAAAGGAGAAGAGCCGAAAACTAAGAATGCTGTTATGTATGTCTGTGGCTCACCTGCATCTCACGTATTTGTTCTGATCTCAAACAGGACAGCAGAGCTAGAAGTGGTACAAGTTGTAGAACTAATCAGGCCAAAACAAAGGTCATCAACTGTATGGAATGGCATATGTGCAAGCACTGAGTAGCTAGGCTAGGACTACTCAGGCTGAAAAGAGACATCTAAAGAGGGCTGTTGTAAATGTCTGTAAAGTCTTGAAGTGTCATGGATGTGAAGAGGGGAAGGTGACACTTTGGCTTTCAAAGCTAGCAGACATCAACTGAAATGGCTGGAGTAGCATTCAGGGGTGAAGGAGTTAAGTCATGACAGGTTGTCACTGTGCTTGTGTACAGGAGGTGCCTGAACCACCAGTTTCTGGGAGTTATGAGAGCATGTTAGGGGCAGCTTTCCAATATCTGAAGGGGGCCTACAAGGATCCTGGAGAGGGACTGTAGTGATAGAACAAGGGGTGATAGGTTCAAACTGAAACGGGGGAAGTTCAGGTTAGATATAGGGACGAAGTTATTTACTGTGAGGGTGCTAAGGCACTTGCACAGGTTGCCCAACGAAGTGGTAAGTGCCCCATCACTGGCAGTGTTCAAGGCCAGGTTGGACAAGAGCCTTGGGCAATATGGTCTAGTGTGAGGCATCCCTGCCCGTGGCAGGGGGTTAGAGCTACATGATCTTAAGGCTGTTTCCAACGCAAACCTTTCTATGATTATATGATTCTGTGATTTGGTGTTACTGCATGTGTTTGCTGATATACTGCCTGAGCATCAGACAGGAAAGGTGGTATTGGAGGATTTCCTCAGAGCTGGTGTGCCTGATGCTATGGGTTTATATTTTGCTTTATGGCATGTTAGCCTGAGTAGAGCAGTTAATGGCCTAACGGTTTTGTTTCCAACATCTGTCTCCGTGTCGGCAGCAGCTGCATCCCGTTTCAGCTACCAGCATATCCCTAGTCGCACGGTAGCTGCAACTTGTGTTGCTGTTGCTTTACCCTGCTCTTCTTGTTCTCAGCCGCTAGATGTCCCTGTCCCACAAGCAAGAAGCTGGAGGAGCCCTGCTCTGCCTGCCATCCAGGGAAGGCAGCTGTATACTGCTCAGTGCGGGCCATGTGGCTGGCTTCTGCTGCAAGAAGCAGAGGTCAGTGGTTCTGAGCATCAGGCCAGAACTCTTTGGAGAAACGCATGTAGCAATCCTCTGTGACATTCTGCCATTTTCTTTCTGTACCGTAGGAGATCTACTCCAATACAATGGGAATCCATCTTTCTTAGCAAATGAAAGGGAGAGGTTGGAAACTGAGGAGCTCAGTAAGGGCTATATGTGGGCAGGAGGAAAGAAAAACAGACAGGAAACTGCTGAGAGCTGGATTAAAGACTGTTTTGGTGATGAGGTCATCTGGAAGACAGTAGGGTTTGTTGAGACTTTGATACACTTTGATCCCTGGACAGGACTGACGTCAGATTTCTTTTGCTTTGCTGCAGTGACTAAAGCAGTCTGCATAGGGCACTTGCATCCTTAATTCTGTCTTTAAAGTTCAGCATGAGGACTGGATATGATTGCTGGTGAAAACATGATGTGGGTTACGGCTGATTGCTCACCCTGACTTTGTATTTGACATCCGTCTGCCCCTGCATTCACCTTTGCATGTCTACAGGACGAGCAGTGCACAAGCATGACTATTGACTTGTTTACTTAGTGATGTGAGCAGTTTGGAGTGGCAGTGACCAGGGACTTTGTGATACTGAGCAATAAAATTAAGCTGTAGAGGTGATCTAAGGACTCTGAAGGGCACTGAAAGAACCCTCTTTTTTCATTTGGTACCCTATGAAGGTACATATTATGCGTTCCTTCTAGTGGAATCTGCTATTGCTCAGAGTGTGCTAATGGTTTTTCTGAGGGGTGAAACTTGGGTGTCATGTTTTTAAAGGACCTTCAGTCTTGAGCATTGTCGTGGTTTAAACCCAGTCAGGTAACTCGTTCGCTCACTTCCCCCCCCCCTTTCTTGCCCTCCCCCTGCTCTCGGAGGGACGGAGAGGAGAATCGAAAAGAATGCAACTCCCACGGGTTGAGGTAAGAACAGTTTAGTAACTAAGGTGTAACACAAATCACTACTGCTACCACCAATGATAATAATGATAAAGGAAATAACAAGGGAATACAACACCTCACCACCAGCCGACCGATAACTTGCCCCCCCAGCCCCGACCAAGCACCAACCGATACCTCCTCCAACCCTGCAGTCTCCCAGCCCTTCCAGCTAACTCCCAGTTACATCCTGGGCATGACGTGCTGTGGTATGGAATACCTCTTTGGGTCAGTTTGGGTCAGGTGTCCTGTCTCTGCTTCCTCCTGGCTTCCCCTCCCCCCTGGCAGAGCATGAGGCTCACAAAGTCCTTGGCCAAACCGAAACATCGCTATCAGCTCTGTTCCCAGGCTGAAAGTCAAAACACAGCACTGCATCAGCTACCAAGAAGGGGAAAAATGACTGCTACTGCTGAACCCAGGACAAGCATCTATACCATCAGCAATGGAGACACCCAGGCAGCATCGCAAGGTCTGTTCTGATCTGGCAATGCTTTGGCACCTCTGCCAGTATCTTGATATTCATTCTCTGCCTCTACCTTTATGGTAATAGGTTTGTCCTGGTCAGGAAGTATGTGCCATCAGACCCCTGCATCTGGATTACCCACTGAGTTCACTCACTTTGACTCTTGTCCCCTGCCCCTGCAAGGCTTGTGGCTGACTTGTGTTTCTGTGGCTCTTTCCAGAGAGAGAAGGGTGGTGGCTGGCTCTGAGGAAGGACTTCTTCAGAGCTTCTCATCTCCTTCAGGGAAACTTGGTAGAGGCTGATTCATTTCATATTCCTCAGTATGAGGATGATGAGGCATTGGCACAGGATGCCC